TGACTCAGTAGCACCGTGCCACTGGAAGAGGTTTTGTGGTGGAACATAAGAAATTTGCTGAAAACTACAGATTGTATGCTCGAACTCATTTCATCAAGGCTATTGAGCTCGCGGTTATCTTGTTGGTGTATGCGGCTTATAGCCCATTGGCTAAGAGCTCGTTTGTTTACATACTAATGACGATTTCGAGCTGGTTCCTTATTACATCTTGGATGATTTCTCCATTTCTGTTTAACCCATCTGGTTTCGATTGGCTCAAAACAGTGTATGATTTTGACGATTTCATGAATTGGCTATGGTCCAGAGGCGGGTTGTTTACCAAAGCAGATCAGAGCTGGTTTACGTGGTGGAACGAAGAACAAGAGCATCTGAAAACAACCGGAGTTTGGGGAAAACTGCTTGAGATTATACTTGATCTTCGGTTCTTCTTTTTCCAGTATAGCATCGTGTACCATCTTCGCATTGCAGATAACCGGACCAGCATTGGTGTATACTTGGTTTCTTGGGGATGCATTATTGGGATTGCTGCAATATATATCACAACAATCTATGGTCAGAAAAAATATTCTGTCAAGGAGCATATCAAATACAGAGTCATTCAGTTCTTAGTTATATGTCTCACCGTCCTTGTGGTCGTGCTGATGTTGCAGTTCACAAAACTTACATTTGTTGATTTGCTGATAAGTCTCTTGGCTTTTATCCCTACGGGCTGGGGACTGATTTCCATAGCTCAAGTACTAAGACCGTTTCTGATATCAACAGTGGTTTGGGACACAGTGATCTCGGTTGCTCGCCTTTACGACTTGTGCTTTGGGTTGATAGTTATGGCTCCAGTTGCCATGTTTTCTTGGTTGCCCGGTTTTCAGAATATGCAAACTCGGATTTTGTTCAATGAAGCCTTTAGCAGAGGCCTGCAGATTTCTATCATTCTTGCTGGCAAAAAATCCACTTGAAGCAAATATTATTGGGGTATGAATCAAAATTTTATTATATGTTACCGATTACTCTTAAGGACATCCCTTAATAAGATTGATTTCATCATATTCTGCAGGGTTCTTTGATTTTATGAAGATCAAATATTCTAAGAAGGGTTACATATTTTGGGAGCTTTTAAGTCGACGTTATCTATCTCTCTGGCAGAAAAAAAAATCCACTTGGAGCACTATGGTCTTTGAAGCAGAGCATCCCTATCTAGATATTTAAAACCATCATTAGTGTTGGTGTTTTGGTAATGAGTTCTTTAAATTATTACGTCTTTTCCTTTTCTTTTGTTTTTAATATCATTGATGTTTAAGTCTTTTTCCCTTTCGTAATTGGATTCCTATTAGCCTCAGGTCAGTGTTAGCGGCTATATAAAAGATCCATTACTTTGTGTTTCTTTCATCTTTGCTTTTGAAAACTTAATTAAAAAAAAAAATAGAAAGAAACAGCACTGAGAGGAGTACTCTCGACCCATTAATTCAGCCGATCTCTTGATCTTTTGAGTTAAGATCCGAATTTGTTTAGAAATCCTTCCAAGGATATCGAAGCTTACTTGTTATTACGATGCAATTGGTGACGCGTTTAATTGGCGGTCTTTGGCCTCAACTACAGAATTTCTTGGCTCAGTTTGATTCAACGACTGTTGCGCCCATGGATGTAAGCCACTTCATTTAAGGACGACCATGGCAATATGGCCAAGATACATATCACAACAGCAAGAAAAACACATATAGTTTTGTGTTTGACAATCGCAAAATCAATTTTTTACCAGCTTCTGAACTGTCTTCTCTTCTAGTATCAAAGAATGAGGTTATTGTCCATCCACAAGTTTCACGAGATTTGTTCCCGAGTGCAGTTTGAGAAAGAACTGAAAAATGTGGGATTTCTTTTGGCACTTCTCCCATCATCTCCGTCTATGCCGACCACCAAGGATCCAGTTCCACCAGTTTTTTCAGCACTCATACGAGAGTTTGAAGACATTATCTAGACGATTTGCCTTTGGGTTTACCACCTCTACTCGATTTACAACACCAAATTGATCTTGTTCCCGGTGATACGTTCCAAATCGTCCTCATTACCGACTGAGCCCCCAAGAACATGAGAACTTACGTCGTCAAGTAGAAGAGTTGATCGCAAAAGGCCATATTCACAAGAGATTGAGCCCTTGTGCTGTGCCGGCTTTTTTTATCCAAAAAAAAGATGGCTCTTGGAGGATGTGCATTGACAGCCGTGCTATTAAAAAAATTACGGTTCGATATCGTTTTCCCATTCCTCGACCGAACGACTTATTGGATCAGATTGGAACATGAACGATTTTTTCGCAACAATCTCAAAAATGATTACCACCAAATTCGTATCAACCCCAGAGATCAATGGAATACAACGTTTAAAATGCGAGAAGGGTTATTCGAATGACTTGTCATGCCCTTTGGTTTGTCTAATGCCCCTAGCACATTTATGCGAGTCATGAATCAAGCTCTTCGGCCTTAAATTGGGAAGTTTGTTAAAATATTTTGATTCTCAGTACGACACTTGAGGAGCGAGCCTTTGTGGAGTGTTTTGGACATTTTGCGACATGATAATTTCTTTGTTACAAAGCATAAGTATGAGTTTGGTATTGATCATGTTCTTTTCTTGGGTTATGTGGTCTCCAAGGATGTTCTTGTTGTCAATCAGAGTAAGGTGGACGCTGTGCATTCTTGGCCTGAGCCTTGTTCTTTGACGAAAGTTCAAAGTTTTCATGGACTTGCATCATTTTATCGTCGTTTTGTCCCACACTTCACCATTATCATGGCTCCCATTATGGATTGTATGGAAGAGGGAAAATTCAATTGGATTCCAGCAGCTACAACCGCCTTTCAAGAGATCAAGGATAGGCTCACGTTTGCTCCAATTTGGTGTTACCCGACTTCACGCAAGCTTTGAATTTCACAGTGATGCATCTAAGTTGGGTATAGGGGCAGTCTTAAGTCAGCAGGGACGTCTGATTGCTTACTATAATGAGAAACTCTCTAGTGCTCGCATCCGTTATAGCACATATGACATCGAATTCTACGCGGTCGTTCAAGCTATCAAGCATTGGCGCCATTATTTGTTTCATCGCGAGTTTGTCTTCTTCACTGACCATGACACTAAACATTTGGATAATCAAGCCAAGGCGTCATCTCATCATGCTACTAGGATTATATTTTTGCAATAGTTTACATTCACAATTCGCCACCAAGCAGGAAAATTTAATCGTGGCTGATGCATTAATCCGACGTCATGCATTAGTTTCTATAATGCAAACATCAGTCCTTGGCTTTTCAACGTTCTCCGAGCTGTATTGCTCTGATGAGAGCTTTTTGGGCGACATCGTGGCAGACACTTCTTTTGTCTTTAGCCTCCATGAGAGCTTTTTGTTCAAAAGCAACCAGCTTTGCATTCCGGAGTGTAGCTAACGTCTCTGCATTATTGAAAAACTATATGACGAAAGACATGTTGGGAGGGCCCAACCCTTGCAGCTGGTGTCTAATTCATACTTTTGGCCGACCTTACGTTGTGATGTTGTTCGATTCGTTGAACGTTGCCGCTCATGTCAACAAGCTAAGGGTTCTACCTCCAATGCGGGTTTATACTTGCCTTTACCGGTGCCCACACAATCCCGGATATACATTAGCATAGATTTCATTCTCGGTCTTCGTCGTACATAGAAGGGTAGCAATTCTATTTTTGTGGTGGTTGATAGATTTTCGAAAATTGTTCACTTTATACCTTGGAAGAACACTACAGATGCGGTTCGTTTGGCTTCTTTGTTTTTCCAAGAAATCTATCGGCTTTATGGGCTGCTTACTTCGATTGTTTCAAACCGCGACACTTGTTTTCTTAGGCATTTTTGGAGGTTTGTTTGGAAGCTTCTCCGTACGAATCTTGATATGAGTACCGTATATTCATTCTCAGACAGATGGACAAACAGAGGTTACTAACCGTGCTTTAGGAAATATGCTTCGAAGTCTTGTTGGTGATAATCTCCAGTCATGAGATTCTAAGCTTTGCATTGCTGAGTTCGCTCATAATCGCGCGACCAATCGTAGTTTGGGTTTCTACTCATTCAAAGTGATATACGGCCTGATTCTGCGGGGTCTTTTGGATTTGGCATTGCTTCCTGATCGTGCACGTCTTCATGGGCAGGCTGTTGACTTTGTTGACAATGTCCAAACAGTTCATGGAGCAGCGCGATCTAATCTTGAAGCTTCTTCCGCAACGTACAAAGCTGCAGCCGACAAGCATCGTCCTGAGGTCGTGTTTAACGTCGGTGATCTGGTATGGGTTTTTTCGAAAAAAGAAAGAATGCCGGCAAGTGAGTACAATAAGCTCCCTTCACGTAAACTAGGTCCAGTGGAGATTCTTGACCGTATTGACGCAAATGCGTATCGCGTCTTGCCTCACACCGGACATACGCACAACTAACGTCTTCAATGTTAAGCATATTTTTCCTTATCATGTTGAAAATGACGATCCAGATTCAATATCCTCCACCGTTTGTGAGCACTACACCATGGTAGCCTGGTTTTTCCCCACTGTGGTTGCATTTTGAAGTTGATTTAGTTGACCTTGGTGTTGGTGTGTTTCTAAACGTATGTATGAATCTATCTTTGTTGGCTTTGGAGACTGATTATTTATCATGACCGTACAATTAATTCTATCATACTGCTGCATGGTTCTTGATTTGATGGGAGCTTAGAAATGGCGGTATATGCTTCACACTGCACCATTTTTTTGTAGGTCTTTGTACAGATTGACTCATGCATTGGTTAATGTTTCAAGTTCACTTAACAAGCTCTCTTGCTGTTGCTCTTATGCACATATTTGGTGTCTTTCAATTTTTTCTTTCTCTCTCTCTCTCTTCTTAAATATTCTCATTCTCAAGCAGTTTTGTCATGTTTTGATTTTAGTCCATTAATGTTGTGTGACTGTAGAGTACGGCTTTCTATATTTTACCCCTTTGCCTGAGGCACAAATTGTTTTGTGATGTTTGAATCAAACTCCAAAGCCTGAATCGAATGCTTTCATGATATAACTTCCTGTAACGATCCATTTTATGACTAATAACTAGTAGTCCGCACATCATTTTCAAACGGATTATTTTTACCTTTTTAGTTTCCATTGACTTCTGTAGGTTGAGGAACAGAAATTAACTAACGGCATTCGTTGAATGAAAAACACTTAACTAAAAACATTCGGTAAAGTACCTTTGAAATCAAGCTATTTTTTAATCACTCTTAAAGTAACTGGGTAAATTATGTTTTCTCCGTGTCAAAGGTTCACCATGGAAAAATTCAAAATGATCAAGTTACTCCAAACAAATACATTTGAAATCAAGCTATTTTTAATTTCATAGTAAATAGAGATAGACTGGGGTATTCAATTCATTTAAAAGTCTTTTAAACAAATGTTTCTAGAGTTAGTTATTGGAAAACTCCACTAGCCTTTTTTATTTTATTTGGTTACAGTACAACATCATTCATCAAGAAATGTCAAAATACAACATCTTTATGTTTTCAAGCTCTTCTCTCATGGAAGTAAATAAAGAAGTGATCCCAGAGATGCAAAATCTTTTTCAATCCGAAGAAGATGAAGAAGAAATTTTGTTAGGAAAGTCAAAGATAAGTAAGCTGTTAGTTACAAAATTAAAGAAAAAGAAAGAAAAAAAAAACCATCAACTCAAGTTTACTATTTTTGTCTTCAAATTAACAAGCTTGATTTGACCCCCATAGATCTAATAGTCCCAATAATTTGATGTTGGCAGGTTCGATTGTGAAGACAGAAGATGAAAGGGAAGTGAAGAGAATACCCTTCTTTTCCCAAGAACCTCCAGTAATAGAAGACGACGAAGAAGACATGACGAAGAAGACATGGATATGATCGAGGATTATCAAGAAAGAGATGATCACAGAGATAACGAGACATATCATGGAAGATAATGTTCCTGAAGAAGAGTGTGTCGTTGACTTTGAAGGATTCTTTTGAAACCTACCTTCTCTTGGCACCTGCGTCACTTCTTCCATCTTTGCTTGGTTGCTTCCTATGTTTTGTAACTTTTATTATTTTGGTAACTAAGAAATTCTATGCCTTAAACCCATAATTCCTTGGATTAGAGACTAGATGAGATTAAGTATCGGCGGTATTCAAACTGATGACCTTCAAATCTCTCCTTTGGATGGCCATGGAAACCATGTAATCTTGTGATCTGCTCAAAGTTTATTCCTAAGCTACTCTGCAAGAGCACAGATGTGCAGTTGTAGTATGTAGAGGTCGAACCACAGAGACGAGAGATCACTCAATAAACCTTATAGAGATCGAATTACGCTAAGCAGAAATATTGTAAATAAATAGCAATGCAACAGAATTAGACTAAGCAGCAATAAAAACGGTTTGTAAGATTCAGATGGATGGAGATTAGGCTTAGGGCGTTTCTCAGGAAATCAATGAATGCAGATCAATCGATTAATCAGGGTTCAGGTTTAAGCACGGTTCTTGAACTCGAATCACAAAATTATAATTAATCAACTTCCGTTGTGAGAATTATCTAAGTTAAAATCCTAAAATTCCAAATTCATTTGCAAACCCTAAAGATTTAAACCAGCTTTAATTCACAAGTTCGATATGTTCACAAAGTATCTAAACCAAATTCCTTTGCGAATAGCTACTTTGCTCACCCTAGGTTCTTTCCAGTTATTCAATTACACTTCCGTGTCAATCAATTAACCTAAGATCTAAGTTCTAAGTGGCCAGTCCAGAATTAGCTTTAAGAACAACCTATGGTGAAGAACTAAATAGATTATGAACCCTAACTAAATCAATTAATTAAACATCCAGAGAAAACCTTTATGAGAACCCTAAACCTAACAAACAAACTACTCAGACATGGAGCTTGAAGCAATAAACATGATTGAATAGATTGCAGTAAACAGTAAATAGATTAATAAACAGGGGTTCGAAATCTTCTCTCTCCGGAACAGAGTTTCAAACTTGTCTCCCCAAAAGCTCTCAAAAAAAAAGTTCTCTCTCTAAGAAAATCTAAGTATCGATATAAGGTGGCTAAAAACCCTATTTATAACTTAAAAACACGTTTTGGGCTTCCTTGTAATTATTGGAGAACTTCTGGGCCCAACTCCTTCTTTAAATAGGAAACAAAATCGCATTTTCCTTATTTCTCTAACAAGTGTCGAGCGTCACTCTCCATGGTGTCGAGCGTCACTAAAGCACAAAATCCATTCTTGACGAAATTGATCCTGATTAAGCTCCAAATTGCTCCAAAGTCTCCAGTTAAACTCCAAACGTACCTAGGACCTGAAAAAACTCCAAAAGACTCGAAATACACTAAAAAGACTCTATAAATAGGACTTATACCATGGTTAAAAACCATAAAAACCATAATATATCATCTTGGTACACTGGATTTAAATTCCTAGTTTCTACTGCAAGTTCACAGCTTGTGATTGTAATATAGAGAGATTCGAATTCTAGAGGACCAGCATCGCACTATGACTCTACAAGGACTGAAAGAAAAAGCTAAGACAGAAAAAGATTTGGTTGGTTTAGCAACAAATTAAACTCAATAAAACAAGGCACTAGACTAAGGTAATTCGTAGGAAATTTAGAAATAGAAACCAAATGGCTATTCAGGGTGCGGTTTAAGGACAAGTTTCGAACTCAAACATAGATGCAATATCGATCCACTGTCGTGGCATCAATAACTTTTTCTAACAACCTAGAATTCTAAATTGTCGTTTGAACCTAGAAATCGCAGACAAGCATTAACGACAAGGTTTGATTTTTTCACAATCTGCTTAGCATTAACTGTCGTTGGCTAAGGACGAGCTGCTCACCAATGTTTTTTCTAGCAACCTATTACACTTTTGATGAACAGGTTATCTAAAATCGCAGATTGAGTGATCAATTCAACCTGAAGCATTAAGACTAACATTGGTGAAGACAATCGATATGAATTCCTATTTGCATTTAGTTTACTACCTCATGAAATCCATTAAGAAACCTTAATAGAGACTACTCAGACATGGCGAAAAGAACAGAAACAAGAGATAAAAAGGAATTCATGAATAAAACTCAGAACAAGGGGTTCAGAATTCTTCTAAAATATTGCAGAGATTCTTCTCACAAATCTTACAAGCAAAAACTCTCCAAAGTAGTCTCTCAATCTAAGAATCATAAAAAGTAAAAACATGTCTCTCTCTCGGGCGGCTCCTCTTTTTTTATTCATTTTCTTGTGTCCCAGAACTAGGTAAAAATTAGTTTTCTTATTTTTCTTCAGACGGTTAGAGCGGGTGCTCCACTGCAGAGCGAGTGCTCCACAAGTGGATGCGCCAGGAGCGAGTGCTCTGAAACTGGAAGTGGTATTTCTGCGTATAATTTGTGCTCTTTTGCTCAGTTTCAACTCCTTTATTCCTTTTTGCTCCAAAGACTCCATCTGCTCCAAACCTCACCTAAAGCCTCCTAGGTACCGGAAACGACCTGACAAATACTTAGAAGACTCTAAAAAAGATTAGTAAACAAGGATTAGAATGAGTTTGCCACTTATATTGTAATTAATTTCGTATAGGAAATGAAAACAAAATTCTCTTTCTTTGAATTGGTCCAAAATCAATACTAGAGACCAACAAAAAAAATGTTACATTGCAACCATCTCAAGCATCAATTTCTTCTTGGTTTTTAGGACACGATGGCTGAATCTGTTTGATCAGGATCTGTCTGAATCTCATGTGCAAGTTGTCTTGTTAAATGATCTGCTTGTTCATCGTGACCTCCTGCAAATGTATAAACCTTGATAGCAAATTGAAAAGCCCTCCATAGCGGTTTACCTCTCTCTTCCTTCATATTATTCATCTTGCTTTCTTCTCTGCTCTTGACCTCCTCGTTCGCTTCTCTCCTCTACTAGAAAACATAGAGAGATCTAGTCAGTTTCAACGCCGAGGATAAAATGCTTGATTTGTGATATGTATAAAAAACCTTTAGTGCTAGCTCCATGCAGTTTGATGAAACATCAACCATAGTTTCTTTGACTTGAACAAAAACTTCGAAATCGATATTAATGTTGTGTCTCTGAAACATTTTAGCCTCTTCGTCTTTTGTTCGTTCCACCGTTTCGATTTCTCCTTTAAATTTGTTGAAGTAACGCTCTATCTTGTCGAGAAGATCGTTTAATGGAGGCTCAATTTTCCAGTTCTTGAGCTCAACTAGAATCCGATCTAACTTCTTGTACAAGTCACCAGCTGTTCTAATTGCTTCTAGTTTCTTCTCAGGGAAACCTTCAAACCTCGCGAGAACCTAAAGCATCCAAAAAAAAAAAGTGTTATATATATACATTGCAAATATTTCGATGGAAATCAGCGAGTCGATTCAAAGAACAAGGAGATAACATACTTGAGTTTCATTAGTTTCTCAAGAACAGATTCCACTTTGCTATGAAATTCAAGCAATTCTTTCATGTCTTTTCTGGAAATGCTGTATTGAAGATTTCAGTTCATCTATTGCTTTCTGCATATTTTTGCACATCTTCTTCGATGTGCTGGAAATAACTCGATCTGTGACACAAACGAAAGGGTCAAAACTCAGCAAATATAGATTAAGACTTGTGACGCAAGTATCTACCTTTTTGTCATCTCTGCAAGTGCGTCAGCCATTCCTGATCTTGCACCTTTAACAGGAGATTTCTCTGCAACATTCTTCTGCCCTTTATTTGCTTTTGTTGTTTTTCCTTGTACGCTATGACCTTCAAGCTTTCCTTTGAGAACCCAATAGAGATTAGCAATTTGTGCTGATCGTCTCAATTTGCTAGTTGCTTTCTTGGCATGCAAGGATCTTCCGCTACCTGGTGGTGCTGGAAGTGCCGGCATCGACGGAATATTATCGCCATTTATAAATTCTGGGTTTTGAAGTTGACAAATATTGTAAAACCAGTGAAACAGAGATTTAAGCAAGTTGATTCGGATATAGCAAAATCTTTTGCACTTTATTAGAAATCACTTAGACAATTTCTTTAGACTTGTCTAATCATTATCACAACTTTGCTTACAGCAAGCTGACACTGACCGATTCCTAATCTATCCAAGCTTGAAACAACAACTGTTGTGTGACTCTAAACTTGTTCACTCACCAAGAACCCTAAACTCTCTCTTTGCTTAGTTTCTTGTGCTCGTTCAATACTCTAAAACGGCTAACCTAATCACCACTTCTCCAGCTTTTCCTTTCTGTTGAGATCTTCGAAATCTCCAAAATATAATTTGCAAAGATCCTCCTTGATGCACAAGTAATCTTCCATTTAGCTCCATTCAGCTACCGCCAGATCAGCTTCTTCATTTCCTTTTGCCACGTCATTTTCATGTTCCAACGACAGCACCTTCTTGTCCAGACTCCAAACTCTGGATCTTACAAAAATCTCCACAAATCATGTGTTTTTGAAGGTGGTGGTGGCGGTGGAGGAGTCAAAGCTTTTCTTTCCGGCTGTGGTGATGATGGAGGTGGCGGTGGCGGTGGCGGTTGAGTTACTATTAGACATCATCATCGGGAAGAACCGATCTCGGTGTTAATAGAGATGGGTAACAAGAGTTGTAACTTTCAGAGTATGACACAGATCTTGTAAAACTTCTTCTTGCTTCTGATGGAACACCTTTTCCTGTAAAACTCTTTCTTCCATCAGATTCAAGATCCATCATACCGAACCTTTCTCTTGTCATCTTGATAAGTCCATCAAGAGCTGTTAAAACATGCTCCGCTGCAGAGAATAAGAAGAAGAACAACAAAAAACCTTAACTCTCTAAGTTTAGAAAGATCATCAACTAAATAAATCCAACAAGTGTTTAGTGAACAAACCAAGACGATCTAACTTATTCTTCTCAACTCCACTGTTCTTGTACTTAGATCGATAAATCCAGTCACTATCCATAATCCAAGAATCACCAATAGCTCTGAGATCCTCGTAGAAGAAAATCAACATCTGTTTTTGGGGCATTTCTGGGATTCATCAATCAGGTCAACAAGACTCATCAGGTAAACAAAGAACGGTTTTTGCGCTAACTCAAGAATTGTTATTGTTTTTTTTTCTTTCCTGTAGGAATAATGTTTTATTATGTAACTCAGAAAACTGTTTAAATTACTTGTGTACCTTATCAATCTCAGCTCCTTCCATTTCAAAAGACTGATTAATGGTTACAATCTCTGGAGAAAGCTTTTGTAGATCCTTCATTGCATGTGTTATGATCTTAAATAGAAAAACAAATTCAGAAACAAAAGGAGAAAATATCTTATCAGTTACACTCTCTAACCCATCAACCAATATGTCAAATGCTTATTCAAACTCTATGATAATGTTAGGTTTATTAAAAACCAAATCTGAAATTTACAAACTGAAAAAAAAAAATTCGATTCCGATTTGGTTCTTGACTGAATATATAAACCGAATGAAAATTCCAACGCCTCTCTTTGGCCCCGAAACTTTTAGACACACTATTGAATAAGCTATTCAGTTTTGGTTGTTTTCCTTTAAAGTCTGTTTCTTTCATGTAGATATTCGATTATTTACTCAAGTTCTTGCATATTAATGGTCGACCAAAAGCTTTGTAGCTCAAATGGTTTAATTTACTTTCGAACAGACTCGCGAGATCATTTATAAACAATGCTTTTAAACCCGACCCAGACATCAAACCGGGGGTAATGTATGGGTCATTGGATCAATTGGAATGACTCTGGTTCTACCGCGGATCAATAGACTAAAAGTTTTTAATGTATTTATAGAAATTGTATATGTAATTTTATAAATATAGTCATACCAATAACAAAAATATGAAGTCTAATGAAGTTTTAAATCCAAATAAATAAAACCAAAAAAAAAACATGACGATTAAAATTTCTATTGATTACTAAAAAATACTAAGGAGAGAATTAGAAGTTGGGAAGAATAAGTACAAAGTTTTCAGACTCTGGACCAGATTGGCCGGTTGAACCGGTTAACCCGTAACCTGCTCAGTAATCTAGTCTGGATATAATTCTAAAACCGAGGTGTTTACAACCGGAAAAACCCGGAAAACCCCATAAAAACCGCAACCCACCTTTATTAACCGATCCGCTGGGTTTCGGTTTGTTTTTGAACCACTTAACTTTACTGGCCAAATTAATTTTGTCACTTGACTTTAACAGTTGTGCAAAAATAGATGAGAAAAACAAGATTCTAGGTTTGAGTTCTGAGTTGAAATGAGTAAAAAAACGAAATGGAAGAGACGGTGTGAGATACTAGGGTTAAGATATGAAAGAGTGAACATTATTTTTAGTCAAAGACAGAGATAATTATAACTAAACATTTATAGTTTAGTATTTTTTAGTAATCACTAAAAATTTTAATCGTCATGTTTTTTTTTGGTTTTATTTATTTGGATTTAAAACTTCATTAGACTTCATATTTTTGTTATTGGTATGACTATATTTATAAAATTACATACACAATTTCTATAAATACATTAAAACTTGCAAAGAGTCTAAAGTAGAGTTTAAAGCATGGCATCTTCAGTTAGAAAATGGTTTAAGTCTAAACATACTGTTTCTTCTGCTTCTCAAAAAAATAATTAATTCAAGAGAAATAATGTCAAAAATTACAACTTTTAATAAAGAAATATCACATGATCAATACCTCATGTTAATCCTGAAAATATATATCAGATAGGAACTTTTGATTTTAAAACTGCATATTCAATAAAAGAACATGAACATACTATATCATTACAAAATGAATTTGAAGAAATTAAATTGCTTTCTTCTATGGCATTAGAAAGTTATAGAAAAAAGAAATTTAATTATATTCATTTTGGATTAATACAAATAGCAATAAAACCTCTATCCAGAACAGGAATAGATTCCCCTATACTTATGTTATTAAGAGATAAAACTTTATTAAAATTTGAAGACTCCTTATTAAGAGCAGTACAATCAAATCTATGTAATGGAGCAGTATATTTTAATTGTGCTCCAAACTTTCAAGTAAGTTTACATGATCCTACTATATTTAATACATTAGTACTAAATGTACACTTACCTGAAATTAAATTTCAACAAGAAAGACATGGCTACTTATTGTTGTATCGAATTCACTTCAAGCAATCTACATCTGAGTTTAATCCAAGATGTTTATTGCAAGATGATAAAGACGAAACAATTATACTAGCAGTACATAGTCAAGATACTCCTACATCTACTTACACACCAAAGCAACTAAAATGGACAGAAATAACTATTCCCGATCAATGGAAAATAGATATTACCCAACCACTAAGAAATTTTGAGCAAAGAACTATTTCTAACATAACAGAACAAAGTGACGGAAAAATACTATTAAAATTTGGATCATTTAGAGAACCATCTTCATTAAGAATTAGCTCTTTTTACCCTAGATCCTCTTTCTCTGACTATAGAACTGGTAGAACCAGTACTGAATCAGAAGAAAGTGTAGAACAAATTTTAACTAAAAATCAAGAGAAAAAACCAATTAATTTTCAAGCACCTATAGCGGAACCTATTCAAAGTTCTGAAGCAGGATCTAATTTTCCTACTTCTCCAACACTTTCTGATTTCAAATCAATAAATGTTATTTCTAAAGACTTTGAAATAGATAAAGAATACATTAAAAAAGAATTTTTATCTAATAAAAACAAAATTAAAAGACAATGGTATTTTAAAACTTTTTCTAAAGAAACAACTCTTATCTATCGAGAAGTATGGTATAATCATATGGAATCAATAGAAGCTAATATTCCATTTTTTATATGGTTTGAAACATATGCTCTAGAAAATAAAATAAATTACCCTTATAAAACTGAATCAATTAACACTAGCTCCACCTTATATAATACTTGGGAAATGACTGATGGTGAAAAACTTAAATCAGTTCATCCACCCTTAAAAGATTTAAAATTATATACACCACAAAGACAAATCGTAGCTACACCATTTAGAACTGGAGCAAATAGAGATGATAAAGACATAGTAAGTATGGCAGGTATTAAAATAGTTTATGAACAAAATAATTATCAAAGTCAAATATTTCATACTATATCAAGACAAATAGATCACATAGATAATAAACTTGAAAAATATGAGAATAATGTAATTACATATTATCAACCTCATTTACACCTCTTTAATTCTATTTCACCACCTCTATTCAAACCTTTAACTAAGCCAGTTAAATTTCCAGAAAATGAAATTTTAAAATCTATCAAAACTAGACTAGACCGACTAGATAAACATAAAGGTATTAATATTATTGATGAAAATAGTCAAATTGAAACTGATGAAGAAGTAGAAATTAATCGTATAAAAAGAAAATTTCAACCATCAAAGAAACCATATTATCCTAGACACTCTCCACCAGACCTACTATTTGAAGAACATCATAAGTTCCCTACTACAAACTTTTATACCGGAGACGGTATATATGAATGGAACATAGATGGTAGGTCAGAATACGAAATGATGAACCTATTCCAAGAAATGGGGATTACTGGCTTGGCCTATAAAGCTAAAGGCTTATCGGACAAACAAGCATGTGTCCTCCTCATTTCCGGATTTAATGGAGCACTAAAATATTGGTGGGATAATTCTTTAGATACAATTTCTCAAGATTCTATTATCAACCATACTGAAACTAGACGGGTAGAAGGAGAAGATGGACTTTATGAAGAAGAACAAATCCAAAATGCTATAGAAGTACTATTACATACAATGACTATGCATTTCGTACGAAACCCTTCTGAAGAATTAACCAGTAAAAAACTTGTTTTAACAAATCTTAGATGTCCAACCCTAGGAGATTTCAAGTGGTATAAAGATATATTTATAACCAATATATTCCAAAGGAATGATTGTAATCAACCCTTTTGGAAAGAAATGTTTTTTTCAGGATTACCATCATTCTTTGCCGAAAGATTCTATATATATATATAAAGATAGTTTGTCCGGTTTCTTCAGTTACGGCAAATGATGAGACACTTTAAATAAATCAAATATCACACTACCAGAAACTAAAATTAAACAAACCATATGAACGACAACAATCACGGAATCACCATCAAAAGAGAATTGCATAAACAGATTTTTCGACGGAAGTAATATTTTCCAGAAAAAAAACTCAGCTCAGCTTAACCATAAACGCTGGACTTTCTACCAATCCCAAAAAGGATCCATGAAATCCACGCCAAATTGGAGTCACCAACGGCACACCCAAAAAACCAATTCCAAAGCTGAGAAACTGATCAGCTCCTCAATATGATGACGAATAGAGGTATACCTAAGAAATCATGGGAATGGGTTAGACCGGCACCGATTCTGGAAAAAAGCACTGCAAGAGTGGACAATACCGAAATCAACGTCACTGAATCACCCAAGGAAGAAAGAGAAGGAGGATGAAAAAAATGACTCAATTAGAGACCAAAGGAATGGGTATGAACAAAAGGTTGGTCCGACCAAAATTTCAATCACCCTCTTTCAATTGAAGCACCCTCTATCAACAATAGAAGAGTTTTGCCAACATTTGAGAGAGCTATCGATTAATACCTACAATTATTAAGGGCTAGAAACGGACACAGCTTTGTATAATCAAAATGAGATTTCATAAACATCGAACGAACAAATAAATATAGCTGGAAAATGAGCCAATATAAAATAATACAAAAAATTACAGACTAAAAAAAAACTTTCATACTAACCATCCAAACCCGATTTCAATATAGACATTTTGTACTTCTTTTGACTCAAGGCCTTATACAAAATATACTAACGGAGAAAGTGCTTTCACAATTACAAATTAAAAAAACGAAAAAAACAAATACTTCATAAACAAAAATAAATTAACAAGAATAAATATAGCACTTCCATAACATTAACCAAAAAATTATTAAAAAAAAACACCCCGAATAACACCTTTTATAAGAGACATAAGTCTCCCATATATAAAACTATAAAAAAGGGAAAAAACATGTGTATAATATAATAGAGAAGAATCGTAATATAAAAACAATGGTAAACGTCCGCGCGTAGCGCGGATCACACACTAGTAATAAGTAAATTAAAAGACTTTTCTAGAGGACAACCAATACCTTGGGATTCTATAACTTACGGACAATTGTTTGCTTTCGTTAAAAAGGAAGGCTTACAAATTTGTCAAGAACATAAGGATAAAAAATAAACTAGTAAATTTAGATTTGGTGAAACTATGGGCTCATTTTGTGAGCAATATGGTTATCACCGACTCCACCTTCTAGGGAAAGACAAAAAACTCATAAAAAAAATAAATTTACACATTCATGACCATATAATAGAAATAAAAATTTCTCAAAAAAGTACTTTAACTCTTACTATACAAAAAAATAAAAAATTCAGGAAACCAGCTCAACAAGAAAAACTTGTTTGTTGGAATTGTAAACGCCCTGGACATAAATCTTCTGACTGTAAAATGAAAAAGAAGATTAACGAAATTTTCCACGATCAACAAGATATTAGAGAAAAGTTAGAAAAACTATTACTTTCAGAATCAGAAAACTCTGAAGAACTTAGTAGTGAACCCTCTTTAGATATCATAGAAAACCAAAGCGATTCATCGTCTGATCATTCACAAGATTACTCCGATGATATTTGCAACTGTAAGACAATAAATGTAATCACAAAAGATATAGATAAACAATTCCTAATAGACATCATAGATAAAATAGATGATCCAGAAACCAAAAGAGAAAATTTATTAAAACTAAAAGATATAGTACATAAAGAAAACCAATTATCTACTCCACAACCTTTTAGCCTTAGTAAAATACTTGAAAAATACCCTTCTCCTACTTTGTTTAAACAAGTAACTACAGGAGAGTTACAAGGAGAAGTTAAAAATTTAAAGGCACAAGTAAGAGAATTACAACAAATAGTCCACCAACAACAATTAGAACAATTAAAAATAAATGCTAGGATACCCTTGATAGAACCAAGAGTTCATCAATTCGTATCTCCTATTCCCACTGAACCATCTGCAAGTAACCCTGAAAACCAAGAAAAGACAAAAGATGAGGAAGAATATATCCAAATCATAGACAAAATAAACTATCAAAAATGGTATACAAAGATTACTTTACATATAGGATATGATTTTAAATTAGAAATAATAGCATTATTAGATACAGGAGCAGATTATAATTGTATTAGAGAAGGAATAGTTTCAACTAAGTACTCTGAAAAAACCTATGAACGACTTAGTGGTGCAAATGGGAGTAGTTTAAAAGTTAATTATAAACTACCCAAAGCAAAGATTTGTAATAAAAGCTATTGTTATAAAACACAATTTATCCTAGTTAAAAATTTAAGTCAAGAAGTTATATTAGGAACTCCCTTCGTCACACAAATTTATCCATTCAAAGTCACAGAATTAGGAATCACTACAAAAATTGTTGGAGAGAAAATAATTTTTGAATTTTTATCTCCTATGAAAACTAAAGAAATTCTAGCCTTACAAAACTCCACCATAGAAAAATCTATAAATTTAATTAATGGGAAACAAAAACATATTCAATATCTGCAATAGGAAATAAAATATCAACAAATAGAACAACACTTACACGATCCACAAATAATAAACAAAATTAAGAAAATAGAAAATGAATTATTAAGTCAAATATGTTCTGAAATCCCAAATGCATTTTGGAAAAGAAAAAAGCATATTGTTGAAATTCCTTACGAAAAGGATTTCAATGAAAGAATTATACCAACTAAAGCTAGACCAATTCAAATGAATCAAGAACTTCTAGAACATTGTAATAAAGAAATTCAAGAATTATTAGATAAAAAACTAATAAGGAAATCTAAATCACCTTGGAGTTGTTCAGCCTTTACGTTAATAACCAAGCAGAAAAAGAAAGAGGAATACCTCGCCTAGTGATTAACTATAAACCTTTAAACAATGTTATACAATGGATAAGGTATCCTATACCTAATAAAAGAGACCTATTGAAAAGACTATATGATGCTTGCATATTTTCAAAATTTGATATGAAAAGCGGATTCTGGCAAATTCAAATAGCCGAAAAGGACAAATATAAGACAGCATTCACCGTGCCGTTTGGGCATTATGAATGGAATTTCATGCCCTTCGTTTTAAAAAATGCACCTTCTGAATTTCAAAATATTATGAATGAAATATTTAACCCTTATTCTACCTTTTCTATAGTTTATATAGATGATGTATTAATATTTTCAAAATCTATTGACCAACATTTTAAACATCTATATACTTTCTTAAACATAGTCAAAAGACATGGATTAGTAGTATCCGAAAAAAAGATGCAAATATTTCAAACAAAAATAAGATTTTTAGGGCATAATATTTATCAAGGAACTATAACACCTATATCTAGGTCTATAGAATTTGCAAATAAATTTCCAGATAAAATAAAAGATAAAACTCAATTACAACGATTTTAGGATGTTTAAATTATATATCAGACTTCTTACCTAATATCAGAAAAATTATTCAACCATTGTTTTAGAGATTGCAGAAGAATCCAGTATCATGGTCTAGTCAGCATACTAGTATAGTTCAAGATGTTAAGAAAAAAGTCACCACTTTACCGTGTCTAGTTATTCCACATCCTAATGCATTCATGATAGTAGAAACCGATGCATCAGAAATAGGATATGGGGGAATACTTAAACAAAAAATGTCAGAGTCTACTCAGGAGTCAATAGTCCGTTTTCATTCGGGAATTTGGCTTGGACCTCAAAAAAATTATTCTACAGTTAAAAAGGAAGTTTTATCTATAGTAAACTGTATTTCTAAATTTCAAGACGATTTGATAAATAAATTTTTTTTTGCTACGAGTAGACTGCAAATCCGCAAAAGAGATTTTACAAAAGGATGTTAAAAATTTAGTTTCTAAACAAATTTTTGCAAGATGGCAAGCAATTTTATCTGTTTTCGATTTTAATATACAATATATAAAAGGGAAAAATAATTGTTTACCTGATTTTCTAACAAGAGAGTATTTACAGGGAAAATCTCAAGACCTACAAAATGAGTGAACAAAAGAAACCGATGTCCGCAACAGACTACATCAAGAATCAACCGCATCTACAAGGAAAACAAATAACCACCAGTAATCAATACTCTGCATTAGCAGAATTCCCTCCTTTGTCCAATGCAAAAGCTGTTAACCCAATACCTCAAAAAATAACCACTCCCTCCTCCTCACAAAAAACTACTGACCAAAAATCTTCCTATTTCCTTAAACCACACTGCCAACACCTCTTCACCACCTCCTTCACCAAACCAATATTATTGAAAGACTTAACCCAATTTATCAATCGTATATTTTACGAGGATAGCCAATACCTTACAGACAACCTTACCAAGAACCGTACTTTTTATGAGTTTATCCTCGTCGATACCAAGTCAGTCGAAATAACCCACCATACAGATAAAACCAACCCCAACCTCATCTCCTACTCCACCTGCAAAATACTACGGATATGCAATCCTAAAGACCTCGGGTTCTTTACCTCTCACACCACTAAAGAATTCTCTGTTTCAGGGTATCATATTCTAGGATATACCTAGGTAGACTACCAAAAAGCCTTCCTACATGCCTTTTACCTACGCACCTATGACCACTCTTGGTTTCTATCATTTGACTTTCATTGTCCTAAGTCAATACCAGGATGGTTCTGTGAATGGTGGTACTGGTTCGGATCGTCCGAAGAAATCTATCCGCCCCCAATACTCAAGGTATCTTTACCTTATTACAGTAAACACGAGAAACCCGAATCCATAGGCCCTTTACCAAAAATATCTTTCCATATTGATATGGGGGTTCCGTGGATACTATCTTGGCATTTTAACCTTATACTTTTTTTACCCGATATGCCATACTCATTAGTCCGAGAATACCGAGTAAAATGGTGGGACAAGTACAATTTAGACTGTTGCTCCATGACTAACCTTGAAAAATGTATACAAATCCATAGTCAAATTAAGCAAACCGTTACAACAATATCCAGAGCACTACCACCTATTCAAACAAAACCAACTACCTCCACCCCTAAAAGCCAAACAGCCCAACAGAGTCAACAACTTCGTCCTCAGGATCAAAGAAAAGCAAAAGAAAAGAGAAAATCAAAAAAATCTTAGAAGCCATCGCTATGCAAATATCTTTCGACGAAGACGAAGACGAAGACGATATTACACAAGACACTTCACCAAACGAAGATCCATACGGCGGTCCATTATCCCAAGACCCTCTTTGTATGTAAATATTTATTTTCAAAATGTAAAATGTAAAATGTAAAAAAAAAAAAAAAAATCCGAAAATAAAGAAAAGAAAAGAAAAAAGAAACAAGTCTCTACAGTCTACAGAAATATTCAAAGGAGAAGAAACAAAATTAGCAATCAAGTTGCCAGAAAAATCATACAAAAGAAGAAGAAAACAACATCATTAATCAAGACCAAGAAAAGAAGACAATATCAATAATCAATAAAAGGAGACAGCATCTTCAGAAGACAGCATCTTCAGGAGATAAGTCTGAAGCTTCAAAAAAAAAAATAAAGACATTACTTAGCACTCCCAACACAATATCAAGACACTTCATCTTTACTTTACGATAGTTTTATCAATCCCTTTGTATAAGTAAGCAAGAAAGCTAGAGAGAAAGACAGTGAATTTTCAGTGAGACATCACTTAGAAATTCCCTGCACTTCTATACTCTCCAAAGTTTTCATCCTTGTATTTTCATCTTTGTATTTCCACTCTTTGTATTTTACTTCTTGTATTCAAATCCAGTTTAATAAAGTAAGTTTTAATCATACTTCTTATCTTTAATTCAAACTTCAATTTTTTATTTTACAAAGTTTAAAACTTATAACCAAAGAATTTATATAAGTTTTAGAATTTACTTATAACCTGGGATTTAAATGGTAACAGTTGTGCAAAAATAGATGAGAAAAACAAGATTCTGGGTTTGAGTTCTGAGTTGAAATGAGTAAAAAAACGAAATGGAAGAGACGGTGTGAGATACTAGGGTTAAGATATGAAACAGTGAACATTATTTTTAGTCAAAGAGAGAGATAATTATAACTAAACATTTATAGTTTAGTATTTTTTAGTAATCATTAGAAATTTTAATCGTCGTGTTTTCTTTTTGGTTTTATTTATTTAGATTTAAAACTTCATTAGACTTCATATTTTTGTTATTGGTATGACTATATTTATAAAATTACATATACAATTTCTATAAATACATTAAAAACTTTTAGTTTATTGATTTGCGGTCGAACCAGAATGAGGATATGTTATTATTGGCAAAATCAAAAGAAAAAACAATATAAGAAAACACCTTGATTTCCGACATTCATATTTGTCATAAAGTTGTTAAAAATATGTGTTCTCTTATTAAATACCATACATATATATATATATTATACATACAAATATATAAGTATATTACCACAAAATTCTTAAATAAAAAAAGCAAAAAAAAACTAGTCAAATAAATCTAACCAATTTTTATGGATCACCATGTAAGACATGCATGACTAGTTACATACTTCTATATATATATAAACCTCTACGACTCTACCATAGGTATTTCAACCACATCAAACAACAAAACGTGTCGTAAGATAATCAAAAGAAACAATGTCGTCATTGCTATCTTTTGCATCATCCTAATTGCTTTATTTCCTTTGCATGAATATATGTATATATATTAGCAGGATCGATCCACAGCTAAGGCCCGTGAAACAATGATTTTAGTGTGTGTAAAAAAGATATTAATTTTTGGGGTAGTCAAAAAATTTTGAGGCAGCCAAAAAATCCAAATTTTTTTTATAAGTGTGTGTAAATACTTTTATCCCACATCGATTAAGTACAAAAAATAGGAAGGAAAAATTGCCTATAAATAAGAGTCATTATCCTTATCAAATATTTAAAAAAAAATCGAGTTTTACTTATAAAAATTGATTATTGGCCTCAAAAAATCGGTTCTAGCTTATAAAAATTGATTCTGGACTTCAAAAAATTGATTCTGAACTTAAAAAAATCGATCTTAAGTTTAAAAAATTAATTTGGGCTTAAAAAGTCGATCTTATATATTAAAAATATGCTGCAAAAAAAAATCGATTAAATAAATTATTTTTACGATATATTTTAGACGTCAAATCACTTTGGGCCGGCCTTGTATACTAGTTTCCCCTTTTTCATCAAGTTATCATCATCACCATTGCAATCATCTAATCATATATATTATCGATACTTGTTTTTTATCCCCGCAAATTATATTGTTGTTACTTTTTGTTTATATAGGTGAAAATAGCCAAACTCTCGAAGCAAAAAGTAATGTAGCCAAACGTCCACCTTGCATATCGGTGAATTGCGACGCTAAAGATAATAATCGCACCTGTGCTTGTTGTATCTCCAAACTGGGAACAGGTGTTACAACAGCAAAACAGAATGTACGGCTGCGTGCAAGGAATAACATAACACGCGACCTCCATCAAGTATTTAAGAAACCTTAATAACATTTCTTTAATACCTAATTTCTAATTATATTTTCTTTGATATGAATAATATATCTTTATTTTGAAGTCCAGCAAATACAACTTATGCCTATTTTTTATGTGTTCACTGATTTTAATTTGAAAGGATCTATGTAATGCCACTAGCTAAACTGATTTTCTCTCATATTTTTTGTGCTGTTATTCAATTTCTTAATTGCTCTGGTTAATTATGATTAAGAAACGTAATAGAAAAAATAAATTAATGTTATATAGTTTGCCTACCATGGGATTTGAACCCGCGATCAAGGTTAAGAGCCTTGCACTTTTCTAAACTTAATATTTCGTTACTGTAAATGTATGTTTTTTTTTTTTCAGTTCGCTTTTAAACTGTATCATTAGTCACTACATACGTATCATTCATGAGCTGTTGATATACCATATCACACAAAAGCACAAAACAATAATTTAGATCAGAAATTTGGATTTTATTAGATCGGGCAAAATACAACTGAGTTTGTTTATAGAAGTGATAAACGAACTAAAACTTAAGAAATTAAGAAGCTAGCAATATCTTGAGTTCTCGGTCTCTCAGTCTCTTGGGATTTCTTGTGTGGTGTCGATTCCTCTCCCTTTATATATGCACTCTAAGTCAGTTTTCGCGGGACATCTTTTCGATTTAGGAACAAGAAGACATTCCTTTTCTCTCGGGAGTTCCTTTTTTCGTTCAAGTTTCGTCCAAACTCGGGATCTTTCTCGATTCCTTTAAGAAGTTCCGACCAACTTCTGTTTAACGGGCCGCGTTCGGCCTAGGAGCTCGTCTGGCCCAATCTTCCCAGTACAATTCCTTCGTAAACCAGGCTTAATTCCTTCGTAAAACGGGCTTAATTCCTTTGTAAACTGCGCACGTCGCGGTTGCGTTTCTGTTGCTCGAGTTGGGCGGGTGAATTCTGTAACATTTTTTGGAGGAGGTGGTAATGCCAGGAGGTCCTTTGCAACGGTATTATCGGACAGTGTATTATTAGGTCGGGGTGACCTGCTTCTCTGTGCGGTTGAACGTCAGAGATCGTCAAATGAGATTTGCCCTTTCCGGCACTGTACAAGCAAGTATTTCGTAAGTGTCTGCAGTATTCAGTGCTGTGTCCTTTGCGATTGCGGAATTTGCAGAACAACGTCTTATCTTGGTCTTCGCTATTGCGAATCCATTTGTTGTTCCATTGCTTGTTCAGTTGTTGGATGGCGTTGGTGTACAACCTTTTATGATTCTAGTATCCCCTGCTGTAACCTTTTACGATTCTCATATCCTCGTTCGGGATGTTTGGTTGTGTAGCTTTGATCGTGAGCTGCTTCTTATTCCTCTTCTGCTATGTAAGTATTAGCTCGGTGCAAGGCGTCCTCCAAGGTCTGAGGTGGGTTATGCTTGATCGCGCTTCGGAAAATCGTTTTTATCCGAGCTCATTTCTGTAGGCATAGGAGGGCGGCTTCATCGCTCATTGTGCAATGGGTGACCACTATTTTGAAGCGGTGGATGAAGTCATGGAGGCTTTCGTTTGCATCTTGAGCTATCTGCCACAGCTCAGAGTTTTTGGTGTTCGGTCCGATGAACATAAAGAAGTGCTTGACAGAAGCCGTGGTTAGCTCCTTGTAATTATTTATCAAGTTCGCCTCGAGCCGCAGGAACCAGTCGAGAGCAATTCCACCCAGACTTTCAACAAATAGTTGGCATTGGACCACATCCATTTCTTCAGCAGACCTAAACTGGTATCGGTTCATGCAGATCACAAACAAGGTCAAGAAGTGTTGTGGATCAGTGTTGCCTTCGTAGATCTTGATTTTGAGTTTTTCCAAGTGCCAAACGGGTGTGGCCGTTATGCGTGGGGTGAAAGGCGTCTTCTGCGTCTCCTAGATAACACGGTCGATCTCCGGCGCCGCACTCGTTGCTTGATGAATCATTGATGTGATCTGTCGGAGTTGTGCCTTCATTGCCTCGAACTCAACATCACGATTTGTATCTATCGGTGTTGGAGCGTTTGCTGACCCGAGAGCGGCGGATCGCATGGTCCCAGTTGGATCGCTCTCTATATTGAGATCGTCAATGATGTTACGGACTCGCAACGGAGTTCGGGTTTGACTGAGTTCGGCGATTTGGACCGCCATCTGGCTGAAGTGTTCCTCGCTCCTCTTGTTGATAGCTTTGAACTGTGCATTGAACACTTGGAGGAGCAGTTCTGTGCTGAGGGCTCCGACGGCGGGGGCCGTTTGCCCGTTCCTGGTTTTGGCGGTTTTGCCGGGGGTTCCCCCTGTTCGCTCTGCAGGAGTTCGGTTGTCTCCGTGCTTCTGTTCGAGAGGATCTTCGTGTTGGGTATGAAGAGTTTCTGTCATCGCTGGTCTGATCTTTCCCTTCTCCGATCTAAAAACTGAGTTTTCTGTTAAGCCCCTTTCTTGGCGTGCTAATTGTTGATATATGATATCACACAAAAGGGAAAAACAGTAATTCAAATCAGAAATTTAGATTTTATTAGTCGGACAAAATACAACTTAGTTCATTTATAGAAGTGATAAATGAACTAAGACTTAAGAAACTAAGAAGTTAGCAATATCTTGAGTTCTCAGTCTCTCAGTCTCTTGGGATTTTTTGTGTCTTCTGGTGTCGATTCCTCTCTCTTTATATATGCACTCTAAGTCGATTTTCGCGGGGCATCTTTTCGATATGGGACCGAGAAGATTTTTTTTTCTCGAGAGAGTTTTATTTTTTCGTTCGGAAACTTTTCTTTTTCATCCGAACTCGGGATCTTTCTAAATTATTTTGAGAAAAGTTCTAACCGACTTCGATTTAACGGATTGTGTTTGGCCCAGAAGTTTATCTGACCCAATCTTTCTGGTATAATTTTTTCATAAACTGAATTTAATTCGTACCGATCTTCATTTGTATCGGGGAAAACTGAAATGCGGTTTTCACCTCCACATAAGCAACAAAAAAAATCCTATTGTTAATTACTCACAAAAACAAACATAATCGTAATTCGTAACAAAGCATTGTGATAATCAATTTGTTTGTTGCAACATTAACGATAATTTTCCGTCAGAAGAGTAATATAACCATATTAAACTTTCCTCTCATAAAAAAAAATTGCATAACTTTAAAAATAAAGTAATTTGAAGACCAAATTAATTAATTAACTCAGCCATCATCTTCCGTCGTTGTTTGTCATTACCAGAGGACATCGTTTTGAATATATTGTCTCGCATCGTTTCGATCTTCTATTTTTGGGTATAAATATGATGTGATTGTTAAGAAACACAAATACAACAACAACTTACTGGGAAAAAAACGAAAACAAAGCATACCAAAAAAATTAAAGAATAAAACATGAGACGACCAAAAAAAAAGAAGAATAAAACATGATTTCCCTAGAAACTAATTCCTTTTATAGATCTCATCATGCTTACACAAAAAGAATCAAACCCAGAAAATCACATCAGCGGTAAAACAATAAAAAAATCAAAAATCGAAATTGTATGTTTTAAATATGTATCCCCAAAAAAATGAGTCACGAAAATTAATTTTATGATTTCTGAAATGGTTGATTAGATCATCATAAGTAGAAATCCTATGGTTGATTAAGTTTTGCATTAAACAAGGATATGCTGTAAATAATTTTCTATGCTCTTTTTTTTTTTTAAGATAGACCAACAAGATCACATATATTTTTTTTTTCCCCAACAACATCACATGTAAGTTATATAATTTATGTAAGTTAATTCCAGAAAAAACGGAAAATTTTCTCATATTTGAAAGCAGTATAAAAATGCAAAGAAATTCATACAACAAAAACGAGCTATATATATATATAATTTAATATAAGGAAACTTCATCATTTTTTCAATATCATTCATCACATGCGCAGAATACAAAAACAGATAATTTAGTATGGAATGTTGAAGTTTATTTATAAGATGAACCTATTTTACAAAAAAAAAAAGTTTATTTATAAGATGTTATGTATATAAATTTAGTATTATACTCTTAATTGATTTAGATTTCCAAATCGTTTTAGATATGTTGACTGTTGATAAAAAAGAAATCTATCATAAATTTTTTTTGGTCGTAAAATCTGTCATAAATTAATACACTAAATCAGCATAATTAATTTTTTTTTGGTCGTCAATCAGCATAATTGATAATCCCTAACTTTTATGACAACTTTAAAAAACTTTTATTCGACGACAAAAAAAAAACTTTTATTCAGCACTTTACGATTCTTGGAAACCTTAGCCGCAAAGCATGGTATTTTCGTAATTTCAGGCGCTATTAGCAAAAAAAAAAAAACTTCATTCCCACGTGGAGACTGCAGAGTATCAGAGGATCGCCGTCATAGTCGAATCCAATGACATGAGTCAACTTTCCTCAGTCCTCACTAAGTTTCAAAACACACCGTTAAAAACACGTGCCACACAACAATCCAAATGGTACACCGATTAATCCGTGAGCCGTACCTCACGTGATTCGTGCTTCTCATTTAGAAAAAACCGACACTGCCCTTGTAAGCCAGCCGAAAAAAGACACCGACCACGATCTCCACTTAGAAAATATTAACCAATCATAAAATTCCTCTTTAAATAGCTTACTTATATTACAGTAGTCTCGTCTCTTTACGCGTTAAACAAAAAAAAAAAATTCAGATTATATAAAGCTGATTAGCTTATCTTCTTCATTCATTCTTTTCCTTTTTTTTGTCTCCTAATTTAATTTCATTTCTCTCTCAGAAAATTTTATACAATCTTTGATCATATTTATTCCCTCCTTTTAACCTCATTTTAGATTTTGCTTCTAAACTCACTTTATCTGAAGTTATGGAGTTGTCAAATGAAAGATTTGATATTACTTCGAAACGCTGTAAATTTCACGGCGAGGAAGAAGGATTAGGATTAGGGTTTGTGAGGTTTACCAGAGGATTGGGGAGGAAAAGGATTTTGATTTCGAAATCGAATGAAAAAATCGTTTCGAATTCCGATCAAGCTCCGGTGAAGATTCCGTTGAAAAGATCTAAGAGCGAAACCACGGAATCCAAAAAGTCTATGCTTGAATCTCTGCATCAAGATATTCTGGTAAGTTAATTTAATTTAAACCTCATTTCTCTGTAAAACTTGCGATTTGTTTGGTTAGATTTTGTAGTGATTTTAATTTGATTTGATTTTGTAGTGATTTTAATTTGATTTGATTTTGTTAAATCGAATTTATCGCAGATTTGCGTACTTTGTCATGTGGATCACGAGGACCTAGCGAGACTAAAACGTGTATCTACAACAATAAGAAAAGCTGTAAGTTCCTCTTTTTTTTTTTGACAAAATTATAAAACTTTGATCTTTCTAATTAAGCAAAATTTTGATGTTTTTTTTTTTTAATATGAATTTAGGTATTGGAAGCAAAGAAGTCGCATTTTGATTATAGCACACCGAAAAAGACTCTGCCTTTTCGTGACCCATTATTAATCCTTGAGGAAGATTCCACGAATTTGAGTGATCAAGATGATGAAATTGAGCCACCTAATGCACCGATTCGAAGGAGGAATAATAATCACGAATCAGATTTGTCGAAGATCTCTATGGTATTGTTTAAATGAGAAAGAAAGATAATAACAAGAAGCAGCTAGTTGTGCAGGAACAAGGCATAGAGTTTGATTTTGCTTCCATTCTTATCATTGAAGCTTTTTTCTTTTAAAAAAGGTTTATTATGTTTAATGATCATGTGAATATAACAATTATTTGCAGAGTTTGTAAAGTTAAACTATTATATGTAAATAATTTCTTTTGGGTTGTGATCAGAGTATCCAAAGTATTGATTTTGTCCTTTTCAATAAAAAAATGTGAAGATTCTGTTTAATTCTGCTATTTCTTGACTTTTCGTAATTATTTTTATTTATTTTTATATGTAAGTGAACACATTGAATGAATCTTAAGAACTTGCTTATAAGAAATAATTCGTGTCAGATTAAATTATTGTGCGGACTTTACACCATATGTATAAGCTTTATTCATTCCACAGCTCAAAATAGGTTGTTCTTTATTTTATACATTGCTCTCCACATGTGGATGTAGGAAGACAAAAGAGGAAAAAGAGAAGCAAATTCTATAAAAATATAGCAAAAAAGTATCTTCACGAAAGTTCTCCTTCACTTTATATAATTAGATAACAAACCACACCGACAGCTATTTTTACTATCTGGAAAGTTGTAAATTATCGAACCCATGATCTCTCTTTCTCTTAACAAATGTCGTATTCGATTTTTTTTTTTTGAGTTTGATAGAAGCATCCATTCTTCTTTTTACAGATTATAAAAATACTACTAAAGGAGGCTTTAACCCAACTTACGTGGCTCAAGCCTGAACCATACAATCGTGCACATACATACATTGTGTTGATCATTTAGTAGAATTTAAGCCACAACTAATGAAAGTGGTCAGTCGAAAATGGAAAGAAACAAAAGAAAAAATTAAAAAAATATGTGGAACTAAACGAAAATAAAAGGAAGACTTGAGAAGATTTGGACTCAGATATAGGTAATGATGAGTGGGTCAATCTTCAACTAACAGTGTCTTGGTGACCCAACAGCCTAATACTATCAGATTTTATGGTCTTAATTATTTATTCTTCAGTTTCGATTTTTCATAATAACTAAATGACCCACCCATATCATTATCTGCGGACGTGAGGAGAGGCCATTAAGACATAATAAAAACAATCTAATAATAATATTGGATGTATTCCTTCAAGTGTGTCTTGTTAAAAAAAGACAATGGTTTGGAAACGTTAATGTCGGTGTATAATTCTTGAATTTACCATTGTATGTTTAGTCCAAAATATATTAACTCCTAAAATAAAGTGACTACGTGATTAGTTCTACTAACATATGCATTCCTGCCTAATTTCTGCATTAGTCATAAACCTTAACATACCCAAAACTGCAAAATGACGAAAAACTGAGAAATATTACTTTCGGTTACATGGGCTTAGTCCTCTCCGCAATGTCTTAGACATTTTTGCTGTTGACAAAAATGTCATCTCCAAGGCTAATAACACTGATCCCAAAAAACTACGCTGTCAGCATAGCACTACAGTAATAGAATTTATAAGATGAAATGTGGCCTACCGATGGGTCTTCAACAATGCATAGAGCCTAACAAACTTTTCGAAGAATTCCCTCTGCTGCTCCACCGAACATAAAAACGGGTCCGTCCCCATTGTGCATGTTAGCAGCCTCTTGTCAACCTTGTAGTCAGTGTAAGCATAATTCTGCAGACGGGGCATTTTGTCCCTCCATAGCAAGACGTTGCAATTCGCGGCATCCTCTACGAAATCGTCTCTACAGTCACCATCCTTTACTCCGACTCCAGCATCAACGACACTCTGTCCAATCAAGCGTTCAGCCTGGGGGTTCTATAGTGACACAGCCGTAATAATAAAAATTAGTGATGAAAATGTTAAGTATACCCGATAACTAATACGTTACCTATGGATCAACCATGTTATCTGTTAACAAATAAGATAACTGTGTCAACGCCAATGCTTATAGCTTCGAACGTAGGGACATCATTGTTCTCGCCCACCTCCGATGATGCTGTCTGAAGCCGCAAATCCGCATGACCCCTATTTTCCATCGCAGTACGCTCTTGGAAGGCCCAGGATTATTGTTGGGCCGAGTAACCTAAGACAAAAATATGAATGGAGATGGATATACGGAAAACTAACAATATAAACAACTACACACACTCACTTCGTCTCCCATTTGTTTTACCATACCCATGGCGTCCACAATTGCTGCGTCAGTCTCTTTATTGGCGTCATTGGTTGTTAGTCTACGACTATCCGAACGCGCTTGGGGTACAGGGGTCATGATCGGGCTCTTGCTGATGTCTTTTGCAGATTCCGTTTTACCTCCAGCTGACAAAGACTTATCTAGAAATCTAAGGATGTTCGACAAGAGTTCTTCTTACATATCTTTTCGTTTTTGATCAAGGGTAGACTTCAAATTCTCTTCATACCCAGCCACAGCTTTCTCGATCACATCCATCTTGCCGATTGCTGATTTCAAAGTTGATTCTATTGAAGCTAGCTGCAGCCTCGTCTGCTCACCCGTCGTATCCGCAGAAACCATGTTGTCAACCTTGTAGTCCTCCTCTTCATCAGACCAGCATAAATCCTCATGGACCCTTATGGCTTCGGGGGCTTCTGGTATTATACAAAACACGTCAACCTGTAAATGTGTTTTTTTTTACGGTTAACAAAAAGCTTAATTGGATTAAACATATTGTTAATATAAGATTTAATTGGTATTCGGCTAACGACATAGTTATTTACTAAAAGCAATCAATTTTGATGCTAATAAATCGTTTACCAGCATAACTAAATCGCACTAACCTTGCCCTCTTCGTCTACCTCGCAAGCGTGTCCAGAGCTGAGACCGAGTTTGGGAGCATACGACCGAATTGCCAGTTTTGGGACAGCTTTTTCGGTATCGTTGACGTTTTTCTGGTCGGCCGTGTTCTCTTCCATCCTAACACCATCAGTGACCTCGTCTGTTTTGCCGTCATCATCCTCGCCGTCCTCCGATTTAGAGGAAGACGACGACTCGTTTACTTGTATTACCTCCATCAAGGCAGAAACTGCTTCGACCAGGATTAATTGAACAGCGTGAAAAAAAAACCTTTGACAGCTACAGTACTCTGAGCTAACGCGACCTCGTCTTTGGCCTTAATGCTTGACATTAGCATTTCAAACCCAAGCCGCCCCCATGGATACGCAAAAAAACTCGTCAAGATCCCTGGTCAATTCGACATGGTTGTGCATAATCTTAGACCTGTGGTTGGTGGGGCATAGAACTGCTCCGGTAATGGCGAGACAGGCATACTTTAGCCGGGTCGTCGTGTCCGCAACCGTCTTTTTTTTAAGCATCTTCGTCGCCATCTCAACGCTACAAACTTTGAGATTATCAAACAAATCCAGCCAGTACGGTTTCTCTTTTACCGGATTTCGTTTCTTTTTCTTCGGTCTCGGTGGGTATTTACCGCATAACAGCCCCGTGACTATTGCGAACTCTCGAAGCGAGACCCTAACTGGCCTTCCGGCAAACAAAATCCAGATTTCGTGCTTCTTCTTGACTTGCAATAGGCGAGTTATTATATAATGACCAAAGCTCCCGGAGAACGCTGGTTTTTCTGCTGTTGCGATGAATTTTCCAAGGTGAATTTCACAGGTACATTCACTATTCGTCGTCAAGAGCGTCTAGAATATTTCCGATTGTCTTGGTCTTGTGGTATGAGTTGACTCGTTCTCCGGATGTTTCATCGCCAGTAGCAAAAATCCTGAATGGTAAATCTAAATCGGCCATGACAATCCTGGGGAAAATGACGGGGTTAATCAGATATGTGTAGTTGTATCGTTATAATCATATATATATGTATGTAAATCTTACCTATTATGAACTCTGATTTCCCTGTTCAATCACTTCTACTACGGCGCTGTCAAGGAATTACCACGTTCTGTTAATTTCAGTATTGAATTTTTGTAAACTTTAATCTCTTTTCATTCTTAATCGGAAAAAAAGAAACCGGTTTGATTAACAATTCTACGTATTTAGTTATTCTTTGTTTTAATGAATAAATCTTTAAAATAAAATTCAAAATTGGCCGCTATAATTGCCACATTTCGTCTAACATAATCTTTCGTAGATATGGCTATAGTTGTAGGTTATAATAGGGGCTTTGTGGGATTAAACAAAATTGTATAGTTAATAGTATTGCGTCAGTTATGCAATTACGGCATTAACTTACGTCAAAGGCTGCAAATTCTCTTTATTTATTATGCATATTAAAATAAGATCATTTTGAAACAGTTTTTAGATATCTATTTTATTGCTTCAAGATATCTCTCTTACCCAAGATCATCTTCCTACAACTGAAACAGTTGCAAAAATTATGAGCAACAATATTGTAGTAGAGTTTCTCCCACATTTGCTCTAACCATATGTCCCACAAGAGAACTTGCAAGCTAGCTTGCGCAAAATACAAAAATGTGCTCAAGCTATACAATGGTATGGCATTGAATCATCACAAAAGACGTAGGCATCACAAAACTGTGTAGGCATTCATCACTTTTACAAAGATTGATGTGGTTTCTTTCATTTAAATTACCGAGCCGGAGATGTTTTATAAGTCTTCAGCACGAAACACAAACTTGAAAAGCATCATATTCAAAATAAAGCTTGAAAGAACCAAGAAGCCATTAACTTTTTCACACCTCACTAAACTTAATGTAGTTTCTTATGGTACACATCCATTTCGTAGAAAGTTGCAATGCCTATGGTCAATATAGAAGAAGTAAAGGGCAAAGTGAAAGTCAAGCAATATATATAATACACCAAGGAGAAAGCTAATAAATTAAAAGGAATAAGATATGAAGGTGTATTTTGCTCTCTCCTCTAGGATGTACAAAAAGATTTCATGTAAGTATTTCTTGATTTTCTTATAAGATTAAGTTACGGAATTCAAGTTTTTATAATTGTTTTACATTCTTGAAGTTAGTATGTTGTGACAGATGGTGAATTTTTGAGATTAAGTTAGAGAAGAATGTTTTAGAGGGAGGATTCAATTCTTGATTTATTAACGAAAATAAAACACTTTCATTTTTTAATATATATTCCGTCTGTTTTATTATAATTGATTTTCTGAATATTTACACTCAGATTAAAAAAACTATAAATACTCAATTATTTATTGTTTATTTTTATTAATTAAATTATTTTTATAATTGATTTTATTATTTTTATTATTATTTTTCTTTTTTAATTGTGTGTTAATAAAATAAAACAATATACATTAATATTATTCATTCAATTTAAAGAAGAAATATGCATTAATTAGAAGTAAAAAATCAAATATTATGAAAAAAAAAACCTAGAAAATCAACTATAATAAAAAAAGGGAGTATTTTGTTAATACTTGACTGAATAAAATAGAATTTTGTGAAATTGATTTGGTGAAGACTGAAGACAAACTAATTTCTTCATCACAACTTTTATTTTCATACATGATTTACAGAAACACAAAGAACAAGAAAGATGAAAAATATTCACAGAGAACATCGTAAAAGCAAAGAAAACAAAGACAACTCAAAAATCAAAACACAAACACTTAAAAAGAAATGTTTTGATTTCGATTTCTTTATTTTTTCTTTCTAATCCACCAGATCTAACAAGATCCCCAACAGCTCAGAAACATAACCGTACGCAGAGATTCCTCCGCCTGCCTCAGCCTCTCGCTCGCCGCCGCACCAAATCGGCTCGATTCTAGATCGCCTTTGAGCCTCCGCACAGAAGACGACGGAGATGATGCTACTGTACTCTGCGGCGACGCAGAACTAACCGTGACCGATTCTTTGACGGCGGATCGTAAACTCGTCGTATCGCCGCCGGTAACACACTTGTCCTTCATCAACTTGCCCGAAAGCTGGCTAATTGCTCTGGTCATTTGCTGCCACAGATTCACTGAATAGTAGTATTATTTCTTTTCAGATTATCAAATTCTGATCTTCTTAAGATTTTTTTTGGGGCTATTCTTCTCAGGCTTTTCAGATTCTGAAGAGAGAGAGTTTCTTCTTCTTTGGAGAGTGAGGATAGATTATATTTTTATATAGAGGGAAAGTGAAAGTGAAGTGAGCCAGAGGATTTTGGAGAAACAACCGGCTGAGACGGTAAAACCGGTGGCTCGCTCGACGATTCGTGGGATTGTTGTTGGATAAGACGACCGGCACGTGCCGGTTCAGGAAGCTTCGCGACATGTTGGTTGTGTAGATATGATCGATGAGGAATGGATATTTTATTTTTTTCCTTTCACTTTAAATCGTTTACTTTTTAAAATGAAATTGAATATCTGCGTCGTTTTCCGCTGGATAAGTACTATGAATAAATAAATAATACACCATGTTTTTGGTTTGAGGAAGACATAATTGTGATGTTCATTTCCAGATAACTTATTTTTATCTATTAGAATTTGACCAAGGTTTTTCTTATTATTTCAAGCATGTTTTTTTTTTCAAACTTTGTAGCTTATACTAACTATTTTTTCTAAGAAAAACTATTTTACATTATTACCACCTAAAATTTTTATGAGTACAAAGTTATAAACATGATGCTTTTTGAATACAATGTTATACATTTTCCATTTTTTTATATATATTTTTCACCTTCCATCTTATTTTAATGGGTTGTACATGATTAAAATAGTAAATAATGAATACATAAACTGAAAATAAAAATCAAATAAAACCAAAATTAAAACCAAAGTTAATATAGAGGATTAAAAAGTATTTTATGCATTTTTGTGAGTTGAACGAAATTTTCTTTTTAAATAATTATTACTACAAATCGTTAATGTTGCAAGTTTTTTGCTTATGTTCTTTTAGATTCGTTTATCTCAGCTTTGTTGTTGTGTTTGTTTGTACAGAAAATAAAGATCAAGACGACACAACAAGATTACAAGTTTCCACTCCAAACCGGCAATAGTATATCTTGGTGAGTTTTAACCCAACTCATAAGAGTATCAAGAGAAGTTCTTTACAAGTGATTCACACATCCCACTCACACCTCTCACCGTATAGAGAAATATCCCCAAGAAAAAGATGAAGAACGAGGAAAAAGATGAAGATACACTCACTCCTTACAAGGTTTTCACCCGCTTTTTTATCTCTCTCATTAGGATGTAAGTCTATCTCTTGCTTACCACTCTATTCTTCTTCTCTGATACTCGCCTTTGTACACTCTGGATTGTGATTCAGCAAAACGCAGAGCTCAAGTCTTCAAGCACAAACTGGGCTTCGACTTCAGCTGATCTTCCATTTTGGGCCGTTTCCAATAACCACCAGGCCCAAGTCCAGGTAACAGCAAATCCATGTAGAATCATATCTCACAATCTCCACCTCGATTTGATTTTGGGTAATTTTCCTCGGAGAGACTCACCGCCCCTCTTAACCGTTCAGACAACACCATATCGGAACCCTAGCTTCTCACTGAGCTAGAATTCAGTCTTTGAGAACACTCAGATGACTTCACCTTTATTCTAATTTCTTCACCGGCATCAATTTTGTGAGAATGTCTGCCGAATTTACAGCTGTATCTCTCTTTGATACCGATATCAATCCATCTGCCACAGAGTCTCTGATAAAGCTCATCCTCACAGCCATATGCTTCGTCCTCTCATGGAAGGTGTTGTTTTTAGCCAAGAAAATTGCACTCTGCAAATCGCAGAAGAACTCCACGGCTTTCTGAGGAAATCCTAATTCGCAGGTAATGCCACTCAGCCATATCACCTCTGTTAGTGCTATGTATTCTGCTTCGGTTGTTGGCAGAGAAACTATCTGTTGCAGACCAGAACGCCAACTAACTGTTTTACCCCCTACTTGAAAAGCATAACCGGTAGTGGATCTTCTTCTATCCAGGTCAGCTACGTAATCGCTGTCACATTCACCTCAAATTTGTTTGCCTTGTTAACCGTTAGCTTCAAATTTGATGTGGTTTTGATGTATCTGAGAATACATTTAACCGTTCTCCAATGTTCTCTGTTAGGAGCACTCATGAAGCGACTTACCAGACCCACAGCTTGAGCTATATCAGGACGTGTGCAGACCATGGTGTACATGAGACTACCAACTGCACTGGAGTAAGGTACGTGTTTCATATCCTGCTCTGCTTCATCTTTTTCTTCTTGCTTAGTGCTGGAAAGTTTGAAGTGACAACCCATAGGAGTAGAAACTGGCTTTGCTTCAGTCATTCCAAAATTCTTCAAAATTTTCTCAACATAAGCTTCCTGCGACAACATTAAAACACCCTTGTTCCTGTCCCTAATGATATCCATGCTTAGGATCCTCTTTGCAGGTCCTAGGTCTTTCATTTCAAACTCATTGCTTAGAATATCCTTCAGCCTTTTGATTTCTTTGATATCTTTAGCAACCACCAACATATCATCCATGTAGAGAAGTAGATAAACATAACTCAGCCTGGGCTTTCGGGTATTCGGATCGGTTCTGGGTCGGATCCGATCGGTTCTGGGTATTTCGGTTCTTGACAATCAGGATCCAAAATGGTACCGAAATTGATTCGGTTTGGTTCCGTTCGGTTCCTTTCGGTTCCGGATCGGTTCGGATCTGATGATCTAAGAACCAAAAAATACCCGAAATAATTCGGTTCTTATTCGGTTTGGATCCGGTTCGGATCCTGATACCCGAAATCTCTAAGTTATACCCAAAATAACTTTAAAAGTACCTAAAGTTATGAAAAGTACCCGAAAATTTAAAAGATCCGAAATTTTAAAAAGAGTTTCAAATGTTCAACAAGCATCATCCATCAAGTATCAAAAGGCATCAACGTGCAAAAACATCAAATACAAATAAAAACAACAAGCATCGAGTACAAAAACAAACAAAGTGCAGAAGCATCAGATTAGAGTCTAAAAAAGATGCCAAAATAAAACAAGTTTAAAGAGCTAAGCTAGTAGTCACTAATGTTGTAACTTGTGAAACATGAAAAATGCAACAACATCTTGTCTTGAGAAACTGTAACAAAAAAACGAGTACAACATTAGTCAAGATATCTCATTACCAAATACAACTTTAACACACATCTCATTGCAAAAAATGATGTCTCTTACCTCAATAACGACCCTTAGCTCTTCATTGAGTCCTTACTCATGCAGATTCTTTTCTCCAAATTCTGTAAAGTGAAAAAAATATGATCATAGTAGTGTATAACTTAGAAAATTAAACTGGAATTTGACAAGGACAAGAGTAACTAACCTCTCTGAAGATCATCTTGGTCTTCAATCTCATCAAGTAGTTGCTCGATGGTTATAGTTCCCCTACTATCCATCCTTATCTCAGACTTCAACCACTGCTCAGTACACATCAACACTTCAATAGTGTAATGTGGCAAGCAACTCCTGAATGGATCCAAAATGCGACCGCTGATACTAAAAGCAGACTCTGAGGCAACTGATGAAACTTGCATTGCTAGTATATCCTTAGCAACTTGTGATAGAACTGGAAAATTTTGGTTATTAACCTTCCACCAAGAGAGAACATCATACTCAGATCCTGCAAAAATATGTGGATTCTCCACATTTTCTGTCAAATATAACTCAAGCTCGGTGGTTACTTCCTGAAATCCTGATTCTTGTACCAGTTCTTTGTACACTACGTCCATCCTTTCATAACGAGCACGACCAACCAAGTTTAGCCTACGGTTTCTAGTTCTGCCTAAGTCTTCAGCTCCAGTATCAGTCTGAGTTGCTGATCCACTCGCTTGTGCCTGAGAAGAAGTACCATTACTAGATGCAGTATTTGACCGGTTCACGGAACCACCAAACCAAACATTATACTCCTTAAACAACTTTTTTCAGAATATCCATGATTGAATCATACATCTGATTTGCAATCAAGCTATCTACTCCATACAGCTTCTCAAAACACAACTTAGCAAATTTCATCTTGTTCCTCGGGTCAAAGACACTAGCTACTATTAGCATCCTATTCATCTCGGTTTCAAAACCAAATGGATCCCAATATTTACCTAACTTGGAAAGCATAGAATCCACTTTCTTTCTCAGATCATCATCAGCATCTAGACTCAATGATATCAGGTTGCGTTCAATTGTTACCATTTCATTGTAACATTTATGTGAACGAGGTGAATTAGTAGCAGAGAGGACAAGTGTAGAGTTGTAAAAAATGACAAGGAAGTTGAGTAACCTGTCAACTGCCAGCCAATCTTCTTCAAGAGGTGGACCAATCCTTTTCGTTCCATCCACTCTTTCTTTGAAGTAATCATTATACAACCTATCTTCAGCCTGCATTTTGTCAAATGCCAACTGGAAATCCATTTCCGTATTCAACATCAGATATGTTGAATTCCACCTGGTCTTGCAATCTAAAGACAAACTCCCTCTTGTCATTTTCCCTGTGTCCACCCGAAGCTCAAATGACATCAATCTCGGTGTAGAAGACCTCACAAATTGTACTCCATTTTGAATGGAAGCAATATTCTTGTCGATCTCATGCAGTCCTTCCTTAATGAACCATTGAGCACTAATGAACCATTTGCTACTTGGCTGAATTCCTCCTTACACCTCCTCATAGCTGATGAGTTTGCTGTAGCATTATCCACTGTAATAGTAAAGATCCTCTTGATGTCCCACTCAGCTAAACATTCTAGAAGTACAGCAGCGATTGTAGCTCCCTTGTGATCACAAATGTGTTTGAATCCAATGATGAGGTTCTTCCATTGCCAGTTACAATCAATAAAGTGTGCAGTAATGACCATGTAATTAGCATTGGTTGTGGGAGCTGTCCATATATCTGTGGTCAAAGAAATTCTCTGCTTGTTGGCGCCAAGAACCTTCTTCATTTCAGCTTTCCTCTTCACAAACATCTGAACAATATCCCGAGTTGCTGTTCTCCTAGAATGAGGCTTGTACAGCTTAACCCTACTTCAGAACCACCTCCACGCCAAACTCTCTATGAAAGACAAAGGTAACTCACCTAAAACTAACATCTCATTGCAAGCTTCTCTGAAAACAGCTTCAGAAACCTTACACAGCACAACACCTTCATCACCGTCCACATCTAGCTGTTGTTGACCTTCTTTTTTTGTTGCAACCCAGGCAATATGCTGCTTACAGAATTGAAGATGCTTCTTCAGATTTGAAGTCCCAGATGATGATGCACAACCCATGGACTTGTGACAGTAATGACAGTTGCATTTGTCATAGTTAGTCTTTGATCTTGTGAAGTGGTTCTATACCAATGACCTTGTTCTTTTCTTTCCCTTCATAGGTGCAGTAGCTTTACGTTTCCCTTTATTAGCAGGAGTGGGAGTCTTAACTTCATCTTCTGTTTCCTCTAGCTGCTCATCCATATCAACATCTTCGTATTCTTCCATGTTTGGAGGATTTTGATTAGAAGCCATCTGTAAAAACAAGACATCAATTACATTTCACATATATAAGCAAAGTAACAAACCCAAAAGAATTCATATCACATATATAAGCACTAGTTTACAAGCACGTACAACATATGAGTTTTTTAATCCCATGTCAATATCGTGTGACTAATGAAGTAATAAACAACACATATAAACAATTCATATCACACTTGTCGATATCCCAAAGCACTAGTGCACAAGTAACAAAACCGATGCACAAAAAAAAGAAAACTGTGTCGGGAAAGAGAAAGTAAGAAAAACTTAGCTACACACCAAATAAAGTAATCGAATACAACAAAAACAGTATGGAGAAACTAACAAAATATCTAATTCTAGACAAATTCGAAATCCTGAAACTCAATAACCAAAATCCCAAAATTGATTTTGATTTTTAAAATAAACCCCCAAATCAAAAGAAATTCGAACTATAAACAAGGAAAATATAGAAGATATGAACTTAATTTCACATCTAAACAACTAAAAACCAAAATCCCCAAATCGATTTTAATATTTTTTTGAAACTCTAAATCCCCAAATCGATTTCGTAAATTAAACCTGAAATCAAGAGAAATTCGAAATAGAAACAAAGAAAACATTGAAGATATGAACTCAATTTCACATCTAAGCAACTAAAATCTAAAATCCTCAAATCAATTTTGAATTTTTTAAAAACCCTAAATCTCCAAATCAATTTTTTGTACTTAGAGTCAGAGATAGATGGCATCTGTAATGGAAATGAACTAAGTCTAACCTCTGATTGATTTCGTGATGTTGCAGATACTGGAGCCGGCGACAAGCGACGGCTGGAGAGTTTTTTTTATTCCAGTTTTGAAAGTGTAAGACTCTCTAAACTGACTTGCTTTAATGAGAAAATAGACTTAGAGAAATTAGGGCTTGTTTGGGAGAAAAAGTGACTAACTTTAGAGGCTATAAAATGTGTATGTCTATTTTTGTGAAAACTTTACTGTATAACATTTATTATATGTCGAAGAACACTTTTGATTGGGTCAACTCTGATTCAAATTCAAAATGTACTCGGTTTAGTCAATAAATTGGTTCTATTCGGTTTGTTCGGATATTTCGGTTCTTGGGTATTACCCAGAACCGAACCGGTATCTGTGGATCTTTAAACCAAAATCCAATAGGTATTTTATGGAGAACCAAAAGCGAACCGAACCGGTGATTTCGGGTCGGTTCTAGTTTGGGTATTTCGGTACCGGTTATTATGCCCAGGCCGAGACATAACTATCCTCACCACATTCTTTGAAATAAAGACACTGATCAAACCTACTTCTGGTGAAACCTTGTTCCTTGATAAACTGATCAAACATCAGATTCAATTGGCTTTGAGATTGTTTCAACCCATACAGAGACCGTTTAAGAAGAAATACTTTGTTACCCTTTGTATGACCCTCTGGCTGCTCCATTATAATTTTTTCTTCCAAATTTCCATGCAAAAAAGCTGTTTTTACCTCCAACTGCTCCAATTCCAGGTCGAAATTGACTACCATAGACAAAACCAGTCTAATGGTGGTGTGTTTCACAACTGGTCAGAACATTTCGTTGTAGTCAATGCCTTCAATCTGTGCGAACCCCTTAGCAACTAGCCGCGCTTTAAATCTAGGTTCTTCCACTCCTGGAATACCTGGTTTTAGTTTGAATATCCACTTGCAACCAATAGCCCTCTCCCCCTTTGGTCTTTGTATCAGGTCCCAAGTATGATTCTTGATTAGAGATTCCATCTCTTTGTCAGTAGCTCCTGTCCACTTGATTTTGTTGTTTTCACTCATTGCTTCCTGGTAGTTCCTTGGTTCTTCAACTTCCAAAAGTTCTGCCACTATTAGAGCATAGGCTGCTACGTCGGAGTCATCAAACCTGCTTAGAGGTTTAATCTGACGATTCTCTCTTTCCCTGGCTAGGAGATAGTTCCTCAAGTTCTGTGGTGAATCATCTGTCTCAGAGTCATCTTCGGAGTCAGCACCAACTTCATCCGACTCGGAAATGACTCCACCTTCAGCTGAACTCTCTGCTGGATCCACTGAATTTTCTTTATCAGTCTGTTCTATTGGTATAGAGAATGTGACTTTCTTATTCTGTTTAAACTTGGAGCTCTGATCTTCTTCAACTGCTGAAACCTTTCCAATGTCCTTATAGATTATGTTTTCACAGAAAGTCACATCTCTACTTACAATGCACTTTTTATCTTCCCTACTCCAAATTCTGTAACCCTTAAGACCTTGAGGATAGCCCATGAATACCCCTTTTTTGTCCTTGGTTTCAACTTTCCTTGATCCACATGAAAATACACCAGACATCCAAACATTCTCATGTGGGAATAATCTGGTTTTCTTCCAGACCAAATCTCCTCAGGTATAGCAAAATTTAGTGGTGTAGACGGTGTCCTGTTGATCATGTACACGACGGTTGATGTAGCTTTGGCCCAGAATATTTCTCCCAGCCCCGTTTCACAGAGTAAAATCCTTACTTTCTCGAGAATGATTAGGTTTAGCCTTTCAGCTATCCCATTTTGCTGTGGGGTATAGGGACACGTCTTGTGCCTCATTATACCATGGTGCTTGCAGTGATCATCAAACACCTTGTTACAATACTCTAAACCGTTGTCTGTCCGTAGAGCTATCACCTTATCACCTTCTTGCCACACTGATTCTATACTAAAGCCTTCCATTCAATGAATTTTCCGAAAGCCTCATCTTTGGTCTTGAGAAAATACACCCACACTGATGCTGCTAGGGTTGACTTCGCGGCTTCATGTTTTAAATTTATAACCCTAGATATCTGCAAGTGCATAGCAGTGCGTTGTAGTACTTAGGGTGTCGATCCACAGAGAATCCACGCTTTACCTGCAGAACCTTAGAACCAGAATTAGTAAACGAAGTCTAAGACGAAATATGTGTTTTGGATAGGTTGTGCGATTTCTATATATGTATTTTAAAAGCGGATTTGAAAACTAGAAGTGAATAAATCGATAATAAATCTAAAGGATGAACAAAGCTCTTAATATTGATCCTAGTAAATTCTTAGAACTCTAGTCACGGACGTATGAATACGCCACTGTCGTGATCATAAACAATTATCTCTCGCAACCCTGACCAGTAGGTTTCCACTCTGGCGCTGGAAGGGAAAAGATGCATTATGTTTAAGACTCGTCAACATTCACAGCTCGCCCATAGGTAGGTTTCCACTCCTATGGTTGATCTGCTCTTCTCAAACTAGATCCAGCCCCGGATGAATACTTTCGCAACACCAAGGACCTAGATCAGTCTCTAGTTCGCGACGCTAGATCCATGCTTTAAGTATAAGTTTAGAAGAAAGATTTCTAGAATTCGGCTTTGGTTTATCTCGCGAAGATCCTTATCGAACATAGTCGATTCCCTTCGATCGAGCCTTTAAACTCATACCTCATCATTCCAAAACGTGCATAAAGTAAATAGAAGAGACGTGCATAGATTAATAAGAAGAAAGAAGTAGAGAAAAACAGACAAGGAGATGAAGAAGAAGCATCTCGATTTCGAGATCTAAGCTAAAAAAAAACTTTTCTTCAAATCCTTTAAACAACTAATCTAATATAAAGAAGATAAAAACGAAATTGAAAGATGCATAACAGTAAAAACCGAATTAAGATAAAGGTAGAACATAAAGAGGGTTCAAGAGAAATCTCTATCTCCCTAAACTAAGAACTAAGAACATAAGAACATAAAAACCCTAAAAAACTAAATTTGGTGGCTCCCAAAAGGGATTCTTCTGAGGCACACGAAAATAGGTCTCCTTAGACGCATATTTATAGGTCTTGAACTCTCTCCAGTCGTCCTTAGGGTTTCCAATGAAGAAAAGACGAATTGGGCTTGAAACAGGGTCATGGGCCAGCCTTTTAGTCGGCAC